ACTTCCATTTTCGTTGGAGGATTTATGTTCACTTGTAATTCAGCGGCTGCAGGTGGTATTTCTGGACGAAGTGCAGGTGGTGGTGGTGGTGGTCGATTCAAGAGCTTCTTGAAGTGGTCGGCCAGCCCATTGTTTCCTCTGTTTCTCTTCTTTCGTAATTAAATTTCCTTCTTCATCTTTTATCGGTTTCATCTGTGTTGATCTCTTCCCTGATAGCAACCTGGTTATTTGATACAATGTTGTCAGGTCTCTTTCTCGCCTACCTGCAGCTTGTTCTGCTTCACTTGCCAGTGTGTCGTAGAAGTGTCTTTTGTCTTTGCGTGCACTCTTCTTCACTTGTTTATCCAATGTTTTATACATTGTGCTCAGTTCCTCTTGTCGTTGAGCATCCTTGCACTGGTTTATCTTCTGCTTCACCATCCTCCTCTCCTCTATCAGCTTCCAGGTATCCGTCGAGATCCATTCCTTGTCTTCTTTCTTCTTCCTTCCTAATACGGCTGTGCAGGTTTCTTTCCACATCTCTTCCAAAGACTTCCAGTGTTCTTCCACACAGGTTTCTTCAGGGATGTTCCTCGATATCTCCCATTTTGTCTTGATGGCTGCCGTGAAGATTTTCTGTGTAGTTTCATCCTTCAGTTTCCGAGTGTTGTACTTGAATTGAGGTCTATCACCAGCTTCCTTGAAGGCTTTTAACTTGATTTTGAAGGTAAGTTCCTTGCACTAGATTGTGAGTGGTGTGAACCTACATCTGCTCCTCTTCTTGACCTTGTGTCAAGTAGACTGCGTCTCCATTTTCTTGAGATTGAGAAGAAGTCGATTTGATTTTTAGTGTGTCCATCTGGTGAAGTCCATGTCGCTTTGTGGATATCCTTGTGCCTGAACACACTGCCTCCAATCACCAAATCGTTGAATGCGCAGAATTCTGCAAACAATTCTCCATTCTCGTTCATCTCCTAGCCGAGCGCTTCTCGACCCATGGTTAGTTCTCTTCCGTGTTGTGTTGTCCCCTCCCAGTTTAGCATTCATGTCGCCCATTAGAATTTTGATATCGCCAACCGAGGTGGTGTCTTGTCCAGTGTTGATTGAAGTTGTCTGTAGAATTCCTCCTTTTTCTCTTCATCTGCATTATTTGTAGGTGCATAGTGTAGCATTGTATGATTGTGACCTTCCTTCCTTTTGAGTTGAATCTTGCTGTCATGATCCTGGAGGAGATTGGTTCCCAGTGCATGAGAGAGAGCCTTCGATGCTCTTGTGAGGGGGACATCATGATAGCCACTCCATAACTCAGTGTGCTGTGCTCGTGGTTGTCGTCTGGGTGACAATATCGGATTAGATTATTGATTCTCTAGTTGACAGTTTGGAGAGTCCACTCCCATTCCATCTGCTTTCGCAAATCCCAAGCACTTCGATGTTATACCTTCTCATCTCCTTTGCAATCTGGGCTGCCTTACTGGGTTCAAACATCGTACGGACATTCAATGTCCCCACGTTTACTTTCGCTTTCATCGAGAGAAGACACATCGGCCAATTGGCTTCCCGGAGGCTTTCACCAACTGGCGTCATTTCGCCTCTCCGATTCCAGCGGGGAATAAGTTTATTTTCATTTTTTATATTTTGTTTGTGCTTTGAAGTTTCTTTAGCGGTTAGATTTGTTTTACGGGGTAGGGTTGCTAGCCTTATTCCAACCTTCCCTCTTTACCCGGGCTTAGGACCGGCTAGTAACTAGTTAACCAGGCGGGGTTATGATGAATACCAACTTGAAATTAACAAATCCCCACAAACTCTGAAATTAAAATCTGGAATTCAATGGTATTAAACTGTACTTAAAAATCACTTATTACTAGGACTTAAAGGAGGACATGCATTAAGTTTGCTGAGCGTATTATGGAGAATTTATACCTGAAAGGAAACAAAATTCATACCTAAGCAGTTAATAAACACCTCATACACAGGAAATCAGTTTTGTTCTTCTAGTGATTTTAAAATAATAAGTGTGTAGAAAATGCTTCAACTACTACTCTTCATGGGAGCGATTTCTATAGAACACTTTCAACCAGACGTCTGCATGCAGAGGGAGAATGTAGTTAATCTCTCACTTTGGTGGTGGCTGTAATCTAATCTTGTTTCATATTATTCACACAATTCTTCATTCTACTTACCAGTCGATCTCAGCTCAGTGAGCTGATCTCTATCTTACTGAAGTCATTTATTCGTATAATATGAAGTTCTTCATCCAGTATAGATCAATTTTCATGTACAACTTGAGATTATTGGCTTTCAGAGTTTAAATTAACTACCGACATCCGTCATGCTGCCAACTAAATTTTATGCGGCTTTGCTAACATTAGTAGTTTTTATTACGTGCAGCTTGAGAAATGAGTAGTTTTGAGTGCCATTTTAATTGATTTCATTCATTGTAATATTTTTAATATTTATTTGAACGAAATAATGAAGACAAATGTGAGTCACGCCATATTCAGCTTAAACAGCAACATACTGGATACAGGGAATGGCTAATGACTATAATAATTACATTATTAATCGCTTGGGTTCCTAGTGAAACATAGGGCTTCAGTAGCACGCCTCCATTCCACTCTCTTTTCTGCAGTCTTTTCAACCCGGCTCCATGACTGCCCACAAGCTTTTATTTCTTCCTCACACGATCTCCTCCATGTCACCCTCGGACGCCTAACTCGTCGTTTACCATCTGGGTTCCACTCGAGAGCCTGGCGCATGATGTCCCCTAACGATCTTCTCAGTGTATGCCCAATTCAATCCATCTCCACTTTCTTCTGCATGCATATTGAGTGATAGGTTGTTGGTTGGATTGTTGCCCTGCCAGAGATCCTTGTTGCTTATTCTTTCTAACCATCCGATCTTCATTATCGAGTGTAGGGCGCAGCTGTTGATGAATGTCTGTAGTTTGTTGGAAATGCTTTCCGTGACGCACGGAGATTCTGAACCATATAGAATCACTGACTTGACGTTGGTGTTGAAAATCCGGATCTTGTTCTTCATGCTGAGTTGATTGGAGTAGATCTCCACACTGATTTCAGATCGATGAAGGCTTGTCTTGTTGTCTTTCCGATTCTGGCTTTGACATCCTAATTTGTGCCGCCGCCATTTGTAGTTGAGACGATGCTGGTTGGGCAGGTAGGTGAAAGAGACAACTTACTTTAGATTCCTCCTGTTGATGGTGATTGGTGCTTGTTGTTGATACTGTTATTCGTTGGGTGTCTTCATCACTTCCATCTTCTTTACGTTCACCTGAAGGCAGTTCCGTCTTCCTTCGTTGCCTCATCTCTTCTGCCAACTTGTTACTTTTCCCCTGTAGATCTTCTAGTATGTGCGACATTAACATAAATCATCGGCGAAATCCAAATCTTCCAGGGTCTTTTCATCTGTTAAGCATATTGTCTATCTTCTTGCTCCTCACAATCGCTAATATCATTGTAATGTAAACTGTATACTGCTGAAGATTATTCGTGAAATATTTTGTTTTGTAAATCTCGCCCTTCTCGCGGTGTTCAAATGTACCAGTATTGTTTAAATATCTAGTTTCACTATCTTTGGAAAGTCTCATTTGATCTATGCTCAGTTCAGCGAAACTGTTACAAGAGAGGATGGTGATCTAGACAAATATGTTTCCCATGGGAACACCTACTGTTTGGTAATAGGCATTCATGCAATCTTCGACTCAGCTGCTTTTATTTTCAAAATAAATTCGTAATCACAGTTTTTAGTGTCTTTGTTTTGTTATTTATCTTCTTTGCATCTGTCGAGCATACACTGTACTGTAGTATTTCATATCTAGAATAGCTTTTTAGCTTATTGAGTCCAACCCTTTTGTATGACCATCGCTATATCCATGATTGGGTAAACTTATTTATTTATCCTCTTCTTTAACATTGTGTAATCCTAAGTCTACAGAAGATGGAATATTTTTCTCTAGGAGCTCTCGTTTTCGAATAGTGATTTTCTTGGCTGAATCACTGTTCCCTATTGACGCGATCAGTTAGACATTTCTGCATTATATAAATGGAAAGTTACCAGAGAAAATCTCAAAGATATTGCGAAGTCAGTTACATCATATAGAAGCTTTTCACTTCACTTCATTTTTATTTTATAAAATGATAAACCTTATCTACAAACACCAGTATCCATTAAATTCATTTACAAGTTTAAATTTTCGAAGGATTGCTTCACTTATTAAATTTACCTTTTTGACTTCTTCCTAGCTCCGTGACACTTGTGATACACACGTCATCTAAAGAGACTTGTATATTCCACGTAATACTCCAAGTAATGCAAACATCTTAGGACTGAAGTATCACGTGCACTGCAAACTGCAGCTCTCAAACTTCAGTAACAAGGTTAACATCTTAGTCATACTTTCCCTGCCACTAGCAGTCAGAACATGAGGTGATATTGAAAAGAAGGATCAATAAGCGGAGTAATTTAGCAGCTTCCAAAGTGTACCTGAAAACTCCGATGAATTTTTCACTTTAAGCTAGAAATTTTTCATCGAACCAGCTAGTTGCAAGATCTAATTCAACTGGTACTCGAGACCATAATAAGACTTCTGATCATATTTGAAATTCATATAGTACACAATGAGTGGCTCTTTCGAGTCAGACATACTCCAAATAATTTACACCTCGTATTTAGGGTCAAAAACAAAAATCATTCAAGTTTAATGTGACCTGAGTTGTTCTTCAAAGTAGATTTCATCCTCGTGTGAATATAAACTAAACAACAGTATTGGAAGAGATTTCAACCACACTAAACATTAACGTGTTAAGAAGATGGAGTCAGGCTATTATAATAGCAACTTGTGCACTAATTATAAGTGTTGCCTGATGCAAACTTCCTGATGAAAGAATATAACTTTCTTTCCTTAAAAAAACTAACACACTTTAATAGGTGAATGAAAGTTTTCTTTTACAATTTCGCATTGGATGTCGTTTTAAATTTCTTGTTTGTTTTTTACCGCTATTCAGTTTCATATAGACGTCCGACTAGCCGATGTCAATCAAACATTTCTTGGACGACCATTAATCATTGCTCATGAAACAAACAGCTTTCCGTTTGACAATTTCGGTCGTTATTTATACGAATATATAAATCCTGGATCTCTGCTGAATGTATTTTACAGTAAAAGTATTACAAAACGACTACACACACGACGAAATCCATGTACTTCGAAGTCAATTAATTTACTAGGCAATACATTTGACTATGACCAGGTGAGCCAATCAACTGTAACACTGATAGAAATGTATACCCCTCTTCTATTTTTTGACAGATCTTTTTAATAGTTATGAAAAAAAGCTCAAGTCATATTTCTGATTAATTAATTCGCTAAGGATGATACATTTACTTTTCAACTGATATCTCTCATTTTATTCCAATGCCTAAGCACTATTTCCTTCAGTTTGAAAAGGTGGTCAAAAAACCAGTGTATTTTTGTTTCTTATTTTCATTGTTATGACTTGTCAATCATCGCTCGAGAGAACATAGAGACAAGGCAGTCAGTGGCAAACTTTTAGCAGAAAGAAAATGACCAGAAATAACACTCCGTGACAGTTGACTTTAATTTTATTTAGCTGGAAGCGTACCATGCCATATTCATGAGGCTGGCGTTTATTTTCCATGACATGATAGTCATGTTCTTCAAAGTCACATAAATTTACAAATGTATTCAATTTCGTGACTGACAAAAGTATCTTGCACTAGTACGCATCATATTTCCAAGTCTCAAAATTGTTAGAAAAACCTAATTACCGTGGTTTTATAAGCAAACGCTCAACATATATATAAAACATTGAAAGGTATGAGGCTGACTTAAAATTTAGAATTTTGGATACAATACGGAGCTATTTGGTACCACATAGTTCATCAGTTTTCAAACAAATGCATCATCTGTTGAAACAGCGACTTTTATACCTTTTAAACTGCTTGGAATGTAGAATGGATCCTGAAAATAGAATTAATGAGCGGAATTTCCTACATAGGTGCATTGACGAATGCAGTGCAATCAATCAGTATTGAGCCTTGGTCTTGGAGAAACATGTTAACGGGAATAAACAATTTTAAGATATCTGTGTTCCTGAAATCCTGAGAATTCATCGTCAGTGGTTGCCATGATGATGTTGTATTAACACAGTCACAGAATAATGTTCAACAATCGATATTAAATAGTTCTAAGCAATGAATATCGCTGTTATGAGTGTCATAGTGTATGTATTGATTGTGAAAAGAAATTACTTGTAGTTTTATGTGCGTCATGAAATGTTTCTTTCTTACTACCACAACTAGTGAAACTGTGAGCACGTTTAGCAAAATGTTCATATTTTTGTCCTCTGAGGTGAATTTCAGGGATTTTTCACCAAAGGTTATCACTAGTTCGAAATTAAATGTAAAGCAATTTTACATTCGAAAAATAAAAGTCTTTCCTTCCTCATTTTACATTTTCGATATAAAAATTCTGTATGATTTATACATACAATTTACTTTTGTTCGTTCATCAATGTTCTATAGATCACGTGTCAGTGGCATACAGTCTGCTCAAGGTACAACCCAAAGTGCAATTGTACTTGTCCACTGGATTTACTCCGTCTGCGTCTTTATCGTAAAGTGTATGGTACAAAGTGGAACCAATTAGCACTGTTGAACTTGGATAGTTACAATATTCATACTAACCAGTCAAGACGTAATTGTCCACCTAAATGTCCCATTGACTTTCCCATAGCATTTGTGAATAATTCTGTGTGCCCACTAGCATGCCGTACAGTAACTTATAAGAAATTAAATGAAGTTCTTGACAATATTACAGATCGTTCAATTGTCCAATTAGAGTTAATCCAGGCGGAAGGTTTAACTGAAATGACAGAAGAAGCTCTATATTCCTTACCAAAGTTGTTTAGTGAGATAGGTGGTTTAAGTTCATTTTGTTTTGGATTTAGCTGTATTCTGTTTTTTGAACTATTCGAATTAGCCTTTTGGTTAAGATGTACTTATCGTTCACAGTTTATTGAACGTGTTAATGAAATATTAGGACAACAAATAGAAATTACTGATGAACCCAATCTAATTATGAAAAATAATGACAACAGTGTTAATGTGACATTTTCTAAGAAAACAGTTTACGAATACATGATAAAAATAATGAAGGAGTTGATGATAGTGATGAAAATAGTTCAAATAAACAGAGACAACACAAGCAACTACCATTCAATACAATTAATTTGTCATCAAAAGTTATCTTAAATGATCCATTAAAAGTGAGGTCATATAAATGTCCAATGACATGTACTCCATCCCGGTTGAAATCTCGTTCCTCTAATCGTATTGATTTAAATCCACTGAAAATATATAAAGTCGATGGTTCACGCTTAAGTGAATATCCTAAAGATCAAGACAGCCCATTGATTGGTTTAAAATCCCACAAACGTTTGATTTTGGAAAATCCTACTGTGGAAACACACTCAGAGTCTCCTACTTTTATCCCGTATCCCATGAATTTGTATTCTAACAGTGATCAAATTTTGACTCCAACAGTTCCGGTTATTTTAAATAATCATTTATTTCAAGTTGCCGTAGACTATGAAATACCGTAACTTCTACGAAACAGTTTTCTATGTAGAAAAATATCCAATTTTATTCTGATATCACGATTATGTTATTTTTATGAAAATCATGTGAATGTGATCAAATACATATTTCATTGCAAATAAATATGTTTCCAACATTGAATTCATTTTGATGTGGAAAGGCAGTGTCGTTGCTAAAGTTAGAATGAGGTTCGCCTGGTTGAATACTTTTTTGGGTAACGAATAAAAGAGGTAGAATATTGTATGTCTAAAATCCACACATATAGCAATCTCATTTCCTTAATTTAATAGCTCATGGGTTTTTCTATTTGTTGCTTGTCCTTGTTCTAAGAGTCAACTATATCGTCAGCTATATTTTTTTGTGTGAATAAGTTCTGAAAATAAGTGAAATTGGTTAAAGTGGGAGTCTTCCATTTCTCCTCTTCTAACTGCTTTCAGATGTAGAATAACTCACCTAAAATGGAATGGATTTATCCGTAAAATCAACTGACATCTAATATGTTATTCATTCACATCAAGGTAAATTACTGAGTTAGTTCATCGAATACAGTCAACCTGCATTAATTTTACTGCTTTGACATAACTACATTTTCACATGTTTAAGGTTTCAAAGTAAACACCAGTGACTCTTACTTTCTGTGTTTAATTGTTTTTGCTTTAAGCAACAGAAGTTGAGTGATTTGATCCAGTACACAGACAAGAAATTGCAAGTATCAAAAGTCAACCAATATCTCTTGCAAATTCTAAGCTGTAGTCAATTCCTAAGAGTCTTCACATTTTCACTGTGATTTACATTAGCATGTAATGACATAAATGATGTTTTCCTCCATGTTGCTTAAGGGTATACTGGTTTCCTGTTGTGTAATTTTGTCTGCATTTTCCTTGATTCAACCGCGCCTGGTTAACTAATTCACTAGTTACTAGCCGGTCCTAAGCACAGATAAAGAGGGAAAGTTAAGCACAAAGAAATTATCATTATTCCTAGCCGGAATCCGAGAGATGAAATGACGCCCGTTGGTGAAAGCCTTCGAGAAGCCAGTCGGCCGATGTATACTCTCGATGAAAGAGAAAGTAAGGATGAAGACATGGAATGTCTGCACCATGTATGAACCAACCGAGGATGCCCAGATTGCGAAAGAGATGAAGAGGTATGGCATGAAAGTGCTTAGAATCTACGAAAGCAGATACAATGGAAGTGGACTCTCCAAAACTGTCAACTGCACACGAGTCAATTATCTACTCCAATATTATCACCCAGACGACAACTACGAGCACGCTGAGTTACCGAGTGGCTATAATCATCTCCCCAACAGCATCAAATGCTCTCTCTCATGCAATGGGAACCAATCTCCTCCTCCACGATCAGGATCATCACAGCAAGATTCAAATCAAAAGAAGGAAAGTCACAGTCATACAATGCTACGCCACGCCACGCTACGCACCTACAAATAATGCAGATCAAGAGAAGAAGGAGGAACTCTACAAACAACTCCAATCAGTACTGTACTAAACAAGACTCCAGTTGGCGAAATCAAAATTCTAATGGGTGCAGTGACATGAATGAATGCCAAACTCGGAGTGGACAGGACAACACACGAAGACAACCAATCATGGGTAGAGAATCACTAACTAGGTGAAATGAACGACAATGGAGAACTGTTTGCAGACTTCTGCACATTCAACGATTTGGTGATCGGAGCCAGTGTGTACAAACACAACGATACTCACAAAGCCACATGCATAACACCAGACACGAGAACACACTACACTAAAAATCAGATGGACTTCATCTCAATCTCAAGAAAGTAGACACAATATCAGATCAAGAAGTGGAGCAGATGTAGGTTTAGACCATTATCCGGTGCAAGGGACCTTCCAAATCAAGTTGAAGGCCTTCAAAAAAGTTCGTGATAGACCGCAGTTCAAGATCAACACCCAGGAGCTGAAAGACAAAGCCACAACAGACATCTTCACGTCAGCCATCAGAACAAAATGGAAGACACTGAGCAACATCCTTCAAGGAACCTGCGAGGAAGAACACTGGAACTTCTTGAAAGAGATATGGAAAGAAACCTGCATAATCGTATTAAGAAGGAAGAAGAGGCAAGACAATGAATAGATCTTTACGGACATATAGAATCTGATAGAGGAGAGGAAGATGGTGGAGCAGAAGATAAACCAGTGCAAGGATGATCCACGAAAAGAAGGAATGAGTACATCATATAAAGCACTGGAAAAAGAAGTGAAGAAGAGTGCGCGCAAGACAAAAGACACTTCTATGATAGACAGGCAAGTGAAGCAGAACAGGCTGCTTGTAGGAGAGACAGAGACCTGACAACATTATATCAAAGAGATCAACGCAGACAAAACCAATGAAAGATAGTGAAGGAAAGCTAGTTACCAAAGAGGAGAAACAAAGGAAACGATGGGCTAACCAGTTCAAAAAACTCTTGAATCGACCACCATCTGCACTTCGTCCAGAAATACCACCTTCAATGGCAGAACTATAAGTGAACACAGGCCCTCCGACAAAAGTAGGAGTCCCTGAATGCCATAAAACTGTTGAATTTGACGAAGCAGGACCATATGGAATTCTACCAGAAGCACTGAAAACAGATGCTGAGACAACAGTAGACACGCTCACACCACCACTGCAGAAGGCTTGCAAAGAAGGAAGGGAAGGTACCTGCAGACTGAAGAAGGGCCACCTTGTCAAACTTCCAAAGAAAGATGACCTAAGTCTTTGCAAGAACTGGCGAAGAATCATGCTGCTGTCCACTTCAAGGAAAATATTTTGCAGAATCATTCTAGAGGGACTAAAGGGTGCGTTGGATTCGAAATTACGACCAGAACAGGCTGGCTGTCTTCAGGAAGAACAAATCAGGTGCAGATCAAATTACAATGCTGCGCATTATCATAGAACAGAGTATAGAATGGCAATCAACATTATCTCAACTTTATCGACTTTGAAAAGGCCTTCGACAGCGTCGACTGAGAAGTAATTTGACAAGCAGTTGCTTCAACACTACGGAGTGCGCTAGTCTTTACTAACCTCATTCAACAGCTATATGAAGATGCCATATACCAAAGGATCCACAATGGAAAGTTCAGTGATGCCTTTGAAGTTTGGACAGGGGTAAGACAAGGCTGCCTATTATCACCCATGATATTCCTGATTGTGGCTGAGTGGATCATGCAGCAAACCGTGAGGAGTGAGAGAGCAGCATAATCTAGACCCACGAGAAGACCCTAGAAGATTTGAATTTCGCCGATGATTTATGTTTAATGTCGCACATACTAGAAGATCTACAGGGGAAAAGTAACAAGTTGGCAGAAGAGATGAGGCAACGAAGGAAGACGGAACTGCCTTCAGGTGAACGTAAAGAAGATGGAAGTGATGAAGACACCCAACGAATAACAGTATCAACAACAAGCACCAATCACCATCAACAGGAGGAATCTAAAGTAAGTTGTCTCTTTCACCTACCTGCCCAACCAGCATCGTCTCAACTACAAATGGCGGCGGCACAAATTAGGATGTCAAAGCCAGAATCGGAAAGACAACAAGACAAGCCTTCATCGATCTGAAATCAGTGTGGAGATCTACTCCAATCAACTCAGCATGAAGAACAAGATCCGGATTTTCAACACCAACGTCAAGTCAGTGATTCTATATGGTTCAGAATCTCCGTGCGTCACGGAAAGCATTTCCAACAAACTACAGACATTCATCAACAACTGCCTACACTGGCTCGATACTGAAGCTCAGATGGCCAGAATAATAAGCAACAGGGAACCCTGGCAGGGCAACAATCCAACCAACAACCTATCACTCAATATGCATGCAGAAGAAAGTGGAGATGGATTGAATTGGGCATACACTGAGAAGATCGTTAGGGGACATCATGCGCCAGGCTCTCGAGTGGAACCCAGATGGTAAACGACGAGTTAGGCGTCCGAGGGTGACATGGAGGAGATCGTGTGAGGAAGAAATAAAAGCTTGTGGGCAGTCATGGAGCCGGGTTGAAAAGACTGCAGAAAAGAGAGTGGAATGGAGGCGTGCTACTGAAGCCCTATGTTTCACTAGGAACCCAAGGGAAAAAGAAAATAATAAAAAATTACCTCGATTCTCTTGTGGTAGTTGAAAAGTTTCTGATTTGGACAAAATCGGTCAATTATGAGTATGTAATGCGCAAGTTAGTTGAGAAACATTGTCGAAAACAATTATTGTCACGTCAACTTTGCTGCTAGCCAAGAGATGAACTTTCTGCTGAATTACTAAATACTTGGCTCTTAGAAAGTAAAAGTTATTTTCACTACTTTTTACGCACACGCTTATCAATGTCTGGAATGAAATCTTTTTTCCCATGCTAATAACAAGGCTGTTCATAAATGATTGCATTTAACTGCCTTTTCGCAGGCAGTACAGTACACTTTTTCCGCTGAAACTGGAAATAGTTCTTTCCGTGAAGTGCTCTCAAAGAGGAAGTTGGCGGGAAAGAATGAATAACTGGGCTGCTGGTTTACCTTGCTTAATCTTCCTTGACAGTGCGCATTAATAAGCCTTTACATGCTAAAACTAAATACCTTTGGGTCTTAATGTAAACAAGCAGCTCGCATTGAACTCCAGTGCTTGAGCGAACACCTCTTATATTCGGTTAGTTACGGATATAGTGAATGATTTAAGGTTTTTGTCATTCATTAGAAACTTCTTTAACGTTTACGAAAAACAGACGACTCAGAAACTTGAGGATCACTGTTCATCCTTTTGGGAATGTCAGATGCAGTTAAATCAGACACTGGTCTCTGTACGAAGTTTATGAAACAGCACTGTGGCGCGTTACGAAAGAGATTTCCAACAAACTACAGACATTCATCAACAACTGCCTACACTGGCTCGATACTGAAGCTCAGATGGCCAGAATAATAAGCAACAGGGAACCCTGGCAGGGCAACAATCCAACCAACAACCTATCACTCAATATGCATGCAGAAGAAAGTGGAGATGGATTGAATTGGGCATACACTGAGAAGATCGTTAGGGGACATCATGCGCCAGGCTCTCGAGTGGAACCCAGATGGTAAACGACGAGTTAGGCGTCCGAGGGTGACATGGAGGAGATCGTGTGAGGAAGAA